TTATCCGACTCAGAGTTTAGCAAAGTTGACTCGTCTCAGAACCAGAGGGCAGATCTGCCAATCTCGCGCATTAGAGGAGAATAGGAGACTCATCGATTTGAGATCCTGACGAAAACCACAACGTGCCTGTATTCGGAGCCTCAATCTTAGGCAGACTTTCAGCACTTCACAAAAGCTACCCGGAAGTCATTTCAAGGTAGTCAAAACTGCCAGTAAATCTGTGGCTTACTGTCATTCACATCGATGAAGAACAATTGCTGCTTACAGATGACAATCTGGTTATCTGAACCGCTGAGGCTAAAAATTTTTTCGATATCGAATCTCTTGCTACCTCTGAAGGTTTGAACAAGAAGTTTTAATTTTCACATCCACCGCTACTGAAGCAGTGCAAATTTTTTTGAACATTTACGCTAAATTGAGAGTTGATATTTATTGGATTCTGATCCAACAAAAAAAATCATCATCATCAGCTTTCGTCGATCCATCGCTGGATTATGACTTCTCCAAGACCTTGCCATTAACTCTTCTATTCTACCATTTCTTTCCATTGTGATTCATCGAGCTTCATCAGCACATCGTGCCATCAATCTGTGGGTGAGTTCCTGAGAACCATTTACTCTCTCTCTCCCTCTCTCTCACTTAAGCCAGTCTAATATCTCTCTCGTCCAGCCGTTCTTCTAGAATTTTCCACCGTCACGTTAATTCAATGACTCAGCATATTCTTGCTTGTGTTAATGCCCATTCGTTCACGCACCTTTCTATGATGCGCTGCATAGTATGAAGAATATGAACAGCTGTCAGACATAGGTTCATGTTTCGCAACCATTGGTTAGCACTGGAAGCAAACACTGATCGAAAACCTTGCGTTTCAAGCACAACGGCAGTTCTACAGAAAAGATTTTCGCTCTTTCAAAAGCGCTCTATAAAACCTTTATTCTTCTGTTAATTTCGCATGGTCGGGTTTCCGTTACAGAGAAGAGTTGTCTAAGATAGCCCGTAGTTTTCTACCTGTTCAAGCCTAAGTCCGCCAACTTGAACTGGTCACGTGATCACCTGTTTGTTATACATCAGCCGAGTTCTCTTAGGGCACATTTCGCGTCCTACGGTGATACTGCTGCAGTTCAGCCTTTGGATTCTTCTTACTTGCTCTTCTGGTGGCGCTGTAAAGGTAAACACATTTTCCGTGAGGCGCAGGTGGCTAATGCAATGCGTTATCTTGTTGTTTTATCCTCCACCCCTCACTTTCCCAACGAGGTATCTTGAAAACCTCTTCCAAAGCTGCCTTGCATAACTTCGGTGATACCGCGTCTTCCTGTCAGACACTGTATTCTTATTAGAACGCGTATTCTTTTGTGACGTTTCACACCAGCACATGTA